AGATGTATCAATTGAAGAAACTGTAAAAGCAGCTGAATTTTTTCTATCTGATGGAGTAATTTTAACCGGTACTTCAACAGGAAATCCAGCCAGTATCACAGAACTTCACAGTAAATAATTTAAATTCCCTTCATCATATACTGTACATTCAATTGTCAAACACAATTTCAACTCTATTTCAGAAGCAAAACTGCATGCAAAAGGACCAGTCATTATTGGATCAGGAATCACATCTGAGAATCTGCACGACTATATAGCAGCTGACGCTTTAATTGTAGGATCATATTTCAAAAGAAATGGAAAGTATGTGGTACTCCAATAATCTGATATTCACCATTGAATGATTCAAAATGTTCATTATTACGATTTTTTTTAGCTGGGAAGAGGAACTGGACTTCAACAAAGTGAAGCTTTTTATGGAGACAGTGAAAAAAGAGAGGGGAAAATGAAGAAAAGAAATGTAACATCTTACTGATTTTATTTTCACTTATGTAAAAAATAAACAATATGCTTTAAAAAAATATGCTATGTAAAGTCATTTTTTAAGCAAAAGAGACTAAGGCATAGTTTTGATGTTGGAATATTTAAAATTTATTTTGATGTCAGAGATTCACTTTAAAAAAATTCATTTCTCGTGCACTTGATTATGCTAATAGCATAATTACAAAGGCACAGAATAATGATCACTTATGATCTTATCACAAATTATGATCACTTTGAAGTATATAGCCATTGCCAAAATAAGTAGGCAAATGGAGGAAAAGAAACACAGTGCTTCATTTTCAATTACCGCAGATATCTTGTACTCAAAATGAAAACAAACACTTTGAATGAAAGGCAGAACTAGTTTCTTCTCATTCACTCAAAAGCAGGTGCTCGAGGTACTCTGCGAAAAATACACTTGCGGATCAATCGCCCAAGATTTGCCATAGTATTCCACATTCTTTCACGTGCTCCTGCTGAAAAACCAACACAGTCAGGAACATCATCTGAAGAATCTTTCTGATTGCCACAATCTTCATTGTTCAAACCACTGCTTTTAATACCGGAACCAGGTTTCACAATATTGGATTCCTCAGATATGTCCTTCAACTCACTTGGAATCTCTACATTCTCTCTAGAGTTAAATGTCTTCCCTCTTGTTAAGGAGTCTCGCAAAGGATAGAGACTGTCTTTATAATCAGCTGAGTTCTGTAAAAATCAACCAACATGTGCTACATTTTATTTTCATTGACCAACCATAGTTTTCATGTTCTTCAACTGCTATGATCTTTGGTGCCCAGGGAAAAGAATTAGGAAGGTAAGCCAACTGTCCTTGGCGTTTTGTGAGGGTGTTCCTGTGGCAAAGTCAGGAAAGGGTCAGGGAAACTACTCATCAGAGCAGTGAGATTATGAATTCAATTCTGGTAGACATCACAAACCTAACCAATCTTGAACACATCAGAAAATTTACAGTGCCTTGCTGAGATTGAACTTACGACCTCCCAATTTGCTAGCTGCAACTGGTGTTAGTGCTGTGTATTCAATTGAATAATTTTTATAAATATGTTTTCAAAAAATGAAAAAAAAA